TTGTGATTTGACCCCCCACCCCCACCCCCCCCAAGATGGTAGGGATCCGGTGACTATAGCACAAAGCTGCGGTCACGTGAAGCCGCTTTGGGAGAAACCCCGAAACTTGGGCGCCAAGATGGAGATGTGGGGTCTGTAGTCGGCACTATGAGCTCTGCAATGACGGTGCAAGCCAAAGAACTGCAAGCCTCCCGGATAGCTATGCCCAAGAATGCTCCTGAATTTGATCCTGGCCCCCTTTTGGATGAGCCTCACCGTACAGTCTACACTGACCCGGTGAGCCTTGCTCGGCCTGTGCTCGAGGCTAGGATGCCTCCACGGATCAGAGTTCATGCCACACCAATCGAAGCTCTAGCTTTTGTAGAGAAGTTGGATCAGCACCACCGCTTGCGCTTGGCTGAAAAGGAGGAGATCCGCCCTTCCCACCTTTGCGGAGCATTTGCATTGACAAAGGATGCTGAATTTGATCGTCTTATACTAGATGCCCGACCTCCTAACGACCTAGAGAGTACATTGAATGATTGGGTTCAGACATTAGGAGCCATCCAGCCTGTGCTTCAGATTGAACTTTCCCCGGAAGAAGATCTTCGGTTCTCTGGGACGGACCTCAAGGACTATTACTACTGTTTTCGAGTCAGCCGTCGCAGAGCCCTCCGAAACGCCCTTCGTCTACCGCTGCGGCCTTCCCAGGTTCGACATTTGCATGCATACAAGGACCATATGAAGAGTGCCAAAGTTCTATATCCCTGCCTGTCGACTATGGCCATGGGTGACAACAATGCAGTAGAGATAGGTCAGAAGGCGCACATGAAGATAGGGTTGACAAGTCAGCTTTTTCGATCTCATGAACTCCTCACGATCCACGGCCGTGCACCTCGAGGGTCCATGGCGTGCGGAGTGGTGATTGACGACGTCCTCTTCTGCGAGAAGGTCAGTCGTGACTTGGGAAAAGAAGGACAAGAAGGGGTCAGAACGGAGGGAGTGCGCCGGTTGGAAGCCTTGTGTGAGGAGTACGTCCAGCGTGGTCTCCTTCCTCATCCTAAGAAGACTTTTAAAGGGGACAAGACAGCAAGTATTTGGGGAGCTGAAATCAACGGGTCGACGGGCGTGTGCAGGCCGGCTGCTCGGCGATTAGTTCCTCTGCTTCAGCTCACGATGAGAGTAGCCCGGCTAGGCTACGCTTCAGTGGCTTTGCTGGAAATTTTATGCGGGTGCTGGATCTCGATCTTGCAATTCCGTCGCAGGATGATGTGTCTGTTGCAAGAGACCTATAAGGTACAGAGAGGGAGACAGAGAACTGATGTCATCGCCCTGGCTGCTCCGTTAGTGGATGAGTTGTGGGTTTTGTGTTTTCTAGCCCCCTTGGCTGCCACCAACCTCCGTGCCTTTACCCATGATGAGATCTTTTTATCCGATGCCTCTGAGAGCTGCATTGCTGCGGTGAAGACTCAAGTGTCTCGCTGTTTTGCCCAGGAGCTGCGACGTCATTGCCTGGCTCGTGGGACCTGGAGCCGCCTTCTAGCGCCTTGGCATAGTTGGATGAGGGAGCACGCAAATTTGCTTCCGGAAGATGAGCTCCCGGACGGAGTCCCTCTTGTTTCTCATCCTCTTTGGACGAAGCTAGCCCAGTATCTTGCTTTTTCTGTCTGCTCGCGGAGAATAGTCTCGCGACGCAGGCATATCAACCTTTTGGAGATTGAGGGGATTCTAGATGTGGAGCGCAAACTAGCGTCTAATAGATCTTCTTTGCGCTACCTCCTCGGAGCAGACTCCCAAGTAGCTCTAGCCGCCTTAGTGAAAGGCCGCTCCGGATCTGACAGGATCAATTCTCTGTTAGAGGAGAGCCTCCCCACAATTTTGGGGGCCGATCTTTACGGGGAGTACGGCTACGTGCCGTCATTAGCGAATTGTGCGGATGATCCAACTCGGGACAGGCCCGTCAGAAGGCCTTGTGAAGATCCCCCAAGTTGGCTAGCTGAAGCCCTGGTAGGAGAATTCAAAAATTTTGATGAGTGGTTGAGCCTGACCGGCTATGCACCGCAGCAGCTGGCCAAGCTCCCATTTGCCAATGCGTTTTGTACAGATGCTGAAGCTGTCAATGAGGAAGTTCTGCTGCCGCTGAGGTCTGTAGCAAAGCCTCAACGTTTGCAAGTTTTTGACGATGTGCAAGCTGCGTGTAGCAGGCTCAAAGAGCCCGCCATTGTACAAAAGGAAGAATCGGAACAAGGAGCATCTGAAGAGTCTGATGACCAAACCAAGAATCGCGACAAGAGCCCGCTAAAAGTTGAAGAAAGCGGTGAGGCCGTCCACCATTGTGTTGCTTCTGGAGAGGTAGCTCCACCTCCTGTAACTCTAGAAACTGCTGACGGCGCCGCCGACGCTGCAGAGCTGCCGATAGCTGAGAATCCTTGCGCTGGCGCTTTAGCTGCGGAGGCTCGGGCGCTTCTTCGCGAGTTCGCGCCGGACCAGTTTGTGCTGCCTGGAGGGAGACGAGCTAAGACCACACCTGCGCTGCAACGCAAAGGTTTCTTGGACTTGTTTAGCGGCAGAGCTGGAACCGCAACTTGTCTTAGTAGACTTTTTGGTGTTTGGGTCCTCACGTTCGACTTCGAACGGGGTGAAGAGCAGAATTTGTTAAACCCAGAGCTGCGGGAGAAAATCCTGCAGCTGATTCGAAGTGACTGTTTCCTCGGCGTGGGAGCTGCCCCAGAGTGCGTCTCTTTTTCTCGGGCAGTGACTCCGGCCGTACGGACTGCCCTGCAACCAGAAGGCACAGCAGGAGTCACGGAGAATATGCAGAAGAAGATCGAGATAGGCAACTCACATGCTGCTTTTATTTTACTGGTTCTCACCTTGGCAGATTCCAAAGAGTTGGGTTGGTGGTGTGAGAATCCTGACGGTTCTTTTCTCTGGCTACTTGGTCCCTACCTCCGTTCTGGGATTGGCTGCTGGAACAAGAGTTTTAGGTTTGACATGTGTCGTTATGGGACCCGGTGGAGAAAACGCACCCGAATAGTCACGTGCCCCTCCGTGGCCGCTGTGCTGCTATGAAGTCTTCCTGGACGAGGGTTGCGCAAGTGTACCCCAAAGCCCTTTGTCATGACATCGCTACAGCACTGGCTATACACGCAGGCTTGACCACAACTGGCCGGCAGTGGAAGCTGAAGATCGGCGCCTGTGCTCACTGCAATCCTGAGAGGATTGGAGAGGCTTCAAAACCCGGCCCAGGTCGGTGGCGGCGGCCTCAGCGAGACGCTCAGGAGTTGCTGGATGTGCGTCTGGTTGAGAATCATACGTTTGAGCTGCAGAACCGCGTATGGGCGCGGTTTCAGGAGTGGCTGTCCAAGAATCTTTCTCTAGAAGCCCGGCACCAACTTTTTCTGTGTCCGGAGATTGCTGTCATGGTTCTAGAACGGTATGGGTTGCACCTCTTTGCCACTGGGGGAAAGCTCTACGAGTTGAGACACATTCTAGTGCTGGTACAACAAGAATATCCCCGCATCCGAATTGCCACGTACTGGACCTTGCTGGCAACTAGTGACACGATGGGAGCTGCATCAGCCTGTGAAACATAGACAGCCATTACCAGAGAGTCTTTTCAGAGCGATGTTCTCGATAGCAGTTCTTTGGAAGTGGACCAGATGGGCCGCAACACTCCTTTTAGCCTATGAAGGTATTTCTAGAATAGGGGAAGTGTTGGCCGCCACCAGAGGCGACCTATTGTTGCCCAGCGATTGTTTCGATGACAAGCTGTTGATTGCTTTTTTCAAGATCAGAAAGCCTAAAAGCAGAAGGCGGGGGATTGGGAGAATTCAACACCTGAGAGTTGCTGATGAAGCTGCTGTGAAATTCTTCGAACGCCACTTCAGTCGGCTTGAACCTAGCGTGCAGCTCTTCCCGAGATCCGCATCAGCTTTCCGAAGTCGCTGGGATAAGATCCTCGACACCCTCAAGATCCCCGTGAACTGCCGACCGACTCCGGCAGGGGTTCGTGGAGGAGGAGCTATCCTGGCTTACAAGCGTAATCGGCCCATACAAGACATCCTCTGGGCTATGCGCCTGACATCGATCACGACCTTGGAATCATATCTGCAAGAGACCGCTGCAGATTCATTACTCACCAGACTCCCTGAAGATGCAAAACAGAAAGTTCGCCATGCAGCTAGTTTTTATGAGATTGCTCTTAAGAGCTGAATTCGATTTTCTAGAGCGCCCTTGTTCTTGCCTCTCTGCAGTCGCCCGACGATTATTCGTCCATCCTGTATAGCTCGTACTCTAGGTGACGGCCCACGAGAAGTTTGGATAGAGCTATGCCAGCCCTGCTGCACTTTTCCTCTCCTTTTGAAG